GACTAGGGGATGAAGGGAATGGACGACCTGACCCTTAGTGACTACAGCTTCCGACCGTCATCTCATATTTCCTTTTGTTATTTTCTTTTTTTTGGTGGTGGGGGGGTGGTACGGAGTTCCGCTCTTGTTGCCCAGGCTGGAGTGCAATAGCACCATCTCAGCTCACTGCAACCTCCACCTCCCGGGTTTAAACGATTCCCCTGCCTCAGCCACCTGAGTAGCTGGGATTACAGGCGTGCACCACCACGCCCGGCTAATTTTTGTATTTTTAGTAGAAACAGGGTTTCATCTTGTTGGCCAGGCTGGACTCGAACTCCTGACCTCAGGTGATCCACCTGCCTTGGCCTCTCAAAGTGCTGGGATTACAGGCGTGAACCACCACGCCCGGCCCATATTTTCCTTTTGCTTTGAATAGATGGCACCCTTTGTTGTTCTGCACCTTAAATGACAGGTGTCATGGGCACCTTTGGTAGATGCCTGTTTTGTGTGTAGCACTAAACCAGTGGTTTTTAGCTTTCCTTGGTTCACAACCCCTGAGGATCTTTGTCCAAGAGATTTCTCCTCAGGACCCTGTGCGCAGAGATGAAATTTTGCATAGGCTCTTAGGAACTTTGCTGACTCTGTGACTCCTCTAATACCACCTAGAGGTCCATGCATAGGAATCAGATCAGGAACCCCAGCTCTGTACCCTTCTTGAAGGGAATGCCAGTAGACACAGTCAGATAGTGGTTGTTGATGTAACCAAAGGGTGGTTGTTAGCCATGTTTGACAAAGATCAAGCGTGCACATATGCAAATGGTAGGGGATAGGGGAAGTGAAGGACAGGTTCTCCAGGACTGTCCTGTTATAGAGGAGCTTTTCCGGACGGCAGTCTTGGGAGCCACCTGAAATAACTTCATGAGTTGGCCTCATTTGATCCTTGGCTGTCCTGAACCAGTTCATATGATGGTGACTTCTATTTTATTGATACTGTAAAAGATGATGACTTTTTTTTTTTGAGACAGAGTCTTGCTCTGCTGCCCAGGCTGGAGTGCAGTGGTGCGATTTCGGCTCACTGCAACCTCTGCCTCCCAGGTTCAAACGATTCTCGTTCCTCAGCCTTCCAAGTAGCTGGGACTACAGGCATGTGCCACCAGGCTTGGCTAATTGTTTGTATTTTTTTAGTAGAGACGAGGTTTTGCCACGTTGCCCAGGCTGGTGTCGAACTCCTGACCTCATGTCATCCACCTGCCTCAGCCTTCCAAAGTGCTAGGATTACAGGTGTGAGCCACGGTGTCTGGCTAAGGTGATGACTTTCAATGACTCTTTAATACTGCTGTCTACTCTAGAGTTTGGAGTTACAAACTGAATTACATTAAAAGGCTGTGTTGAGTAATAACATTACGTTGAACTTAAGTGCTTTTTGAACCTTTTGGTTCTGTAGATAATTAATTTTCTTTGAATTGACACCATATTTATTACTGAGTATCTGTGTAACCGATTATTTACTGTGGTCATCTAGGACTCCTTGACTGGATTGAAAACTTTCTTTCTTTTTATATGAGAAAGAGAAAGCTTTGTTTCTTTAACTTAAAATTTATCTGTCCTATTAGTCATGCAGTGACTAATAGTACTTGGTGCTTCACAACATTTTGTATAGTCCCCACTGGATTTCTTTTTGGAAGAACCAACTATGGTGGGTGTGGTGAGACATAGGAACCACTCCTATCATTCTCTGGAAAATTGACAAAGGTGCTTTCTCTTTACTAGGTCCAACAGGAGTAAACCAGTACTAGCGGGAGCTATGTACACTTTTCTTGTTCCTTCCTCCCTGTGGCAAATTCCAAGTTCTCTTATTACTCTATATGGCATGGCTTCCTAGGTGCACAAAAATATGAGAACTGCATGGTGTAATAGCTGGGCTTCCCACAGCCTTATGCTACTTAAC